CCCCCCCCCCCCTGACAGTGAAAGTTACATACAAATTTTTCTGAGCCACAAAGGTTTATCAGTGCTGCCACTACAACATACTGTTACCTTGAATTTCACATGCTGTTTGCAATTGCAGCCTGAACAGGTTTTATGTATCAGGTGTGTGAGTGGAATGTATCTGACCACAGATTGTGTTTGTGTGGATCACATTTTACGAACTGAGAGGTGTTTCTAACTAACTAACCAACCAACTAAATGGCTTAGGGAACACAAAGGTCCATCATCAAGTTAACCAAAGCCGTCCACCGATCCCTGTCCTGGGCCAGCAAGATTCAATCGCAGAAAGGTGCTTCTACTTAAATTGATGAAAATACCGTATGCACAATGAAGGTCCCTTCTACTATTTTTCTGCAAGGTTTAGGGAACAGCTACTGAACTCCCCAACATGGCCGACAAATATACAATTCACTAAGCCATTATGGTGCAATTCTGCAACAATTTTACATGCAACTGAGTGGAAAGCAACTGATGGTGGAAACCAGAGCAGACAACCATACCTGACCAGGGCTGTCGGCGATATCGGAGCTTCTTGCCGTTCCGACGGAACAACTTATTGGAGGCGCTCTCCACGCTGCGACGTGCGCCGGCACTCCCATTTCCAGCCTCACTCTGGTTGAAGTGGCCATTCACGTGGCGTTCCAGTGTCGTCTGCAACAGATATCACAAATCTGCACATATCACGACATACAGACCGTCTCGCAAACAATGATCTAAAATTTCATTAAATTCTCGATTTTCGTAAGAGATGGCCAGAAAGTTTTAATTACAATGAGAAAGCACCAAAAATTCACCATTTCTATATGCAACATCTGAACTTCCCAGTTTTCGTAAGCAACCATTGAAGTTTCCAATTTCCATCAATGGAATGAATGACTAGAAACCATCCTAAGTTCCCCTCTTACAAGAAATCATCTAAAGATCTGAGTTGAATAGTTTTCACAAGCAACAACATATTTACTGGCAGTCACGTCGCTATAAGTTTTAGTGGACATGAACATATGCATCACCGTATCTCTGGTAGACAGTGACAGAATTCCGTAAGATGTCAATAAATGGTTTTAAGACGTTCTGACTACTGAATTACGCGTCAGATGTTATCCGGTGCTGTTACCCCCAAGGTAATTTAATCCTGAAATCAATAATAATGAAGCAAAAGGATTCCTGTTTATAAAAATGGCTGTTTCAACAACTGCTGCAAGGAAAATTAATTTCACATAACCAACTTACTCAACCAGAAGCACAATCACTTATTTACCGCAGTTAGAATGTGCTGAACTGCGCATTCATCATGCAATCATTCAGCTCTACTACTCACAGGAACCCAAAGTATGCATGTGTCAAAATGTTTTTGTTCAGATTTCTGTACTTAATGTAACAGCGCATCAAGCTTAGCTTTAGAACAATCAGCGTGAGCAAAAAAGAATACACAAAGTCTTGTAGTAGTTCCACCTATTACATCGAAACCCACCTCAATAATTTCATCTACGTATGGCCTTCACCTTGAAAGGGTGTTGGGTAACATTTTGTATGAAGTTGATAACAGTGATATATCTCGATAATTACTACAGACAGTCACTGAAATTTATCTCCAAGTTTTAATGGATGAGCAGTATGTTACTTTGACACAACCAGATGGGCTGTACGTAAGCCATGGCGCATGAAGATTACAAGCAAACAGACTAAACTCATATAAACAACGACCAGCTTCAATGAGATGCAGAAAAAGAACCCTTTAATTACTCTGATAATGTCTTCAACCAAAGTTTCTCATCTGATACTTGTCCGAACCAAAATCATTGACAATTCCAATTTACTAAATTTCAATACAGGAAAATTTAAAATCCATAAAGACTGTACATGAACCCATTTTAGTCTCCTTGTACGCCCTATAATCTTGCCACGCCAAAAAGAGAGATATTAGTTACGTAGATCACGTTAAATTTCCCAGGCTTCAACGTCTTTGGTCTCCAGTAGATTCCAGCGGGACCAAGCAAAACTGAACAAAAAAACTGCACGCGTGGCTCCATAATACTTGAGAGCTGACAATCTCCACAGATGTAATCACTCGACTGTTCCTCCCTCAACCACAGCCGGTTACCCAGTTTTCGAACTCACACCTTTTCCGTTCTACATTCCTGCATTCACCCAAACTATCTTCCTTCCCCCTGCAGCAAGACGCCCTGTATCTGCATTCATATCTACAACATATACATGACTGTCTCAAGGCTCCCTCTCTGGTGGGTGGCGCACACAGCTTTCGGTGAACCCGCGTAATCAGACCGTCCATAAACCGCACCAAATCGCAGAATGACAACGTGACAACACTACCTTCTAATCTTTCAACTCCACTCACCAGATAGGGTGGAAAGTAATCCAGTCAACAAAAGGACAACAGAACCACACAGGGTCTTGTAGCACCCACCACCCTTAGAAGGACCTAGTCTCCATCACTGGACCCCTTTCCTTGTACTTGGTAACATTCGTGTTTTGAAATCAGAATGGAAAGAGCATCAACTACATCCCGAACATCCCACAACCCTCGAATCATCAAGTGTCTGGTAGCAACAGGTGGGAGATGCCGTTGTGGCTGTTCATCAGCGAATCAATACTTAAAATATTATGGGCACATGAACTAGTCTAACACTGCACGAACGCTGAGTTTTACGGTTTTCCACAGGCTAGAAAAGAAGATGAACAAAGACAGAAAATTAATTAAAGACAGATTCTGACGTGGGGCGCATTTGACTATTATTATTATTATTTAGTGTTCTGTCTGACGACAGGTCCATATGAACAGGATCCTTCCATCCTTTTCTCGGACTGGGACCTGTTCATATACGTTCTTGGCAGATGATCCAGAAGTGGTTTGCAATTGCCTTCTTCTGTGTGTGAATGGAGTAAGTGTTGGGATGCCACGGAGGAAAACTCCGCGTTCCCTAGACCACGGCCTTGTCCAACACAAGTTATAAATTCGGGCACAGCCGGGAATCGAACCCGAGACCCCAGGATTACAAGGCCAGCATTCTAACCGCTAGACCACCTCATCTTATTATTTGGATACAGATATTATTCCACTGCAAAATTGAATTTTGATGAAGCCAAATTGAATTTTTAAAAAAATACTTTCATCAAAAATGTCTACAATAATCCCTCTCATGCCTTCTTTTTGTGCGCACGCGCGCGCGCGCCAACAACAACAAAGCAGTCACATTAAAAACAACCTAACCCATCACGCAGCAGAAGAGAACGCAACTCTCTCGGTTTATTTGCTCAGTATTTTGCGATTGCACTGTTACATGCTGTTATCTGGTGGCAAGAAGATGAACTGCGAGACATGCAAGAACCATTCTGACACTCAAACTTCACTACAATCATGATAATTTAAGTGTCGTAATATTAAGGCATCCACTTTTCCAGTGAGACGCCCCCATGCCACAAAACAACTGTGACCACTCTGTAAGTGTTATCATTAAAAACTACAATTGCGACTGATATTTTAGAGAGTTGTTGCCAGATCTCCAACTCAGAGAGGGAAGAATATAGAATGAGGGTGTCTGAGAAAAAGATACTCAGGAGAATATTTGGTTTTATATGAAATGACAGTTTACTGGGGTCATCTCAACGCCCATTACTTTTAAAACCGTTCTGTTCCTCCTTCCACAAACTTTACTTTGATAAACTTACCTGTGAACTAAACCGTTGGCCACATCCATCCACAATGCAACGAAATGGTTTGTTCCCACCGTGACTCAGAACGTGTCTCTCCAACCACGAACGGGAACAAGACGTGCGGGCATACACCTTGCAACCCACCCACAGGCACACGTAATTCTCGCAGGATGCCTGCGGATTCACGTGCTTTGCCTGCAACACGTGTTTAAGTACTTTTAATATTCGTACTCAAAATTATTTGACGAGTTAAAATTCAAGTTATACTGAAAGCTGAAGTAAGAATTTGCTAGCAGAATGTTTTCACAAAAATATCATGAAAGTTGACTTAATCAGTTCCCACTCCTTTGCTCTACAGACTTTCAGTCCCTCAGAAATGTCCATCCAAATAATGCTCGTCACTTGAGATGGGAAATTAAGCATGTCAGGTGACATCTTCTAAGATAACATTTCGAGGAGCGAAATGCCTCCATCAGGCAGATGCTGCATAACCTCATCATTTCATGAACATCACCTACAGATGTTGCAAATAGGAGGCGTATCGTTAGTTCTGAGCCTCACCTGCAGGCATTTCAGCTGGTACACACTCTACAACATAAACCAAGTGCCTGAAAATTTCCCAAGTCCCAAAAAAGAAGTAACTGGCGTCATAATTTCAATCGTACGTGACCTCGTCGTAGTTGTACGTGGCTTTTCTACGCCTTCCATTAGCTGCAAAGATTCAGGCCAGACGTCTGTTAAACAAAGACACCAATATGTTTTCCTAATTTGAAGGAAAATGTAAATTAAAGTTAACGACTTTCTGAGTCCTTCAAAAGCAGAACAGAGGCAACGGTAAAACTTCAGTTGGTCGCCCAAATTGCCTAGCAGACTAGCGGGAATAGCGGGGGACTGGCAGTAAAGTGAACATCATATTTAAATCCTGATGCCTGTAAATACATCTTTTTAATTTTAAGTTGCACTGTTTAAAACTGTGCACTTGGAAAAATTATTTAACTACGCATGTTTCAAGGTGTCCACGTGGAACTCGTACCACAAGCAACTGAACGTCGATACCAAAATATACAGATTGTGACGTTCAAAGAAAGAATTTCTAATTGTTATTTGTATGTAAACCGCATGCAGTCCAGTAATTATTTGTTAACGAGCAAAAAGTAATCATCAGTATTACCATTCACGTTATCACATGGCGAGGCTAGAAGTGTAAGCGAAGCAAGTATTTCTTTTAATTTTCAGCGACTTATTTGTCATTCTGTTTTAGAGGTTCCGTGTTCAAATACAACCTCAAACAAAATTATTTGCAAAAACATGCTTTAGAATTACGTTAGCTCCCACATGAGTGTTTTCAAGACCTGGCATCAAACAATTCAGGACAAATGTATCGTTGCTTAGAAACATTCCATCACGAGTTTATAAGCTCCCCACTTTGGATCTCCTCATGCTGCAGTGCAAGGGGAAAAACATCTTACGGGTTCTTCCACGTGTCCGTCTGCTCCATTTTCCAACAACGGCCTTTATCTAATGTTGTTATTTTCATCGTAAAAGTTACTGTTACAGGTATTCTTATCGTAATTCCTAATTTTACTGAAACAATAATAAGAAATGCATAGAAACATTAAAAAAATATTGTTTGATCATCTTCTCGAGGCTTCTGTGGAATTCGCATGAAACGCTACGTCCACGCCAAGACAAATGAGATCCACGGCTGAAGCTCAAAGATTCTGGACACGTCAACTACACACTCCAGTTCCTGAAAATTCCCGGTTAAGAGCCAACGTCGTGATCCGTATTGTTCATGAGTCAATAGCACATTCTACAAAACAAAAGTTTTTGCAAATGAAACCATTTACCTGAGGTCAGACTCAAACACAGAATCTTTTACATAAGAATGACAAGAGACTATTTTTCGCGTGGGGATCACACAAGAACACCTGTCATTCAAATATGTCCGATTCACGACTTACACACAGGTCAAGCTGAGCAGAATGGGACTCAAGATCTAGGGTGTGGCCAGCGCTTCACACACGTCAGCTTCATGGAACCTACTTCAAAATTTGCTGGCGTGTTCAGAAAGACGCCTCATCTGCCGATAATCTAGCGGACTTACCTGCAGGTGCTCTAACAGACCAGTACTAGTGTCAAAGCGCGTCCCACACTCTGACCAGCGGCAGGCGATTGTGTCGGGCGATTCTAACTGTGAGCTGTTGGGTTTAGAAGGTACCACGCCGCTACTGCCGCTACTGGTGCTGCTGCTGTCGCTAGGAATGGCAGGAAACCTGATGGTAGTTGGCACCGACAAAATTGGAGTAGGCTTGTCGCACAACAACGAAGCCACGCAGTCCGGCTCAGACGCGATTGTCTTTGGCTTAGGAACGGCTTCCTTCCCGGTCTTGAACGCCGTCTCGGATGACAGAGCCGTCTTCAGAGTGGCGCTGGCAGTTGTCGCCGACGCAGATTTTTGTGCACTTTCCACAAGGCTCAGGGATGGCGACTTCTGGGCAGTATTAGGTGACAACAGCGCGGACAGCTTCTGAGACGACGACGAGGTCGACGGAATATTCAGGCCATTCCGCTTCGTATCCAGGAACTTTGACACGGCGGACGAAGACATCTTCCGTGCTGCGACCGCTGCCACCATCCCTCCAGTCTTTTTATCTGCTGCGACTTTCTGCGAAACCTTGGAAGTCTTGCCATCGATGGAAGATTTCGCCCACGGCTGAGAAGAACCTCCGACGTCGCTTGCTTTGGACAGCGGTACATTTCTTACAGGGGACTTTGTACCTGAGAGCAAACTTGGAAAATACTTGTTGGCGCTCGGTGCAGTCTCACACGACTTGGGTTCCTTTCTCCCCTGCTGCACACCAGAACCAGATTTCACAGCCAGCTCCTTCTTGATCCCGTTCAGCGGCTTCACCTGCGACTTGAAGTACTCGGTGATCTTCCCCTGTTGCGGAACTTTGGTCGGGGGAGGCGCGTCCCCCTCGTGGCTCTTACTGTCAGCACTACAACAACACCTGCCCTTATTCGCACACTGTGTGGCACAATGACTAGTAACTGTAACACTATTATTATTGCTGCTGTGATGATCCGCCTTTAGTCTCTTGGTTGCGGCAAACGGAGCAGAGGCAGTCTTGTGGCTTGTAATGGCAGTCTGACGTTTCAGTGACTTGAGGGGCAGATTGGCAATCACGTTGGCAGTGACCGGTGTTAGCGGGGTGGCAGTGACGGCAAGAGGTGGTGGCGGGGGCGGG